ATGACTCTGATCTTATCCATAACAGCACAGTTGTTGAATCTGTCCAGAGGGTTACTGATGTAATCGGAATAGTCAGTTCAGTACTTAAAGATGCAGTGAGCGATTTTGTTAGCTTAGCCGTAGCACCAACTGAAACCACTCCCCTCTCCACCAAACCAAAACAACCGGCACATGTGAACGCGCATCCACAAGTGACATTATCTGTCATCAGATGAACATGTCACATTCTCCTGATGAGCAGAGGAGTTGCGTATCGCGGCTGTGAACACTTGCAGCGTCGCGGCTGCTGCTGTCTCTGTGAGGTCTATGGAGAAGTGTAGAGGACAGTGTATTGTGTTCACGGACACTAAATGATCAGACCGATGGGTTGTGTTCGTATGTTTACTCTGCACTCTGTCCTAATACACTATAGACGTGTTGCTGCAGCCTTACTGTTACTGCTCACGCATATGTTAGTATTTGGGGCGTTCGTACAGAAAGTGCGGTAGACCAGTAAAATCCACATGTGTGTTTTCCTCATGGTACCTTTTATTGATTTGATCGGCAGGGGAAATCACAAAAGAGACTGAAGCACCATTAACTTGCAGTACTTCTTTCCTCACAGTACGTAACAAAATAGTCTCGGGTTGAGAGGTGAGACCTAAATGCTGGACAGCTTCATGGAGAATGATACATCTGTCTGCACCATTGTCCAACACAGCGTTGGTGTCATAGGCTCTTGAACCATTGTAGAGGCGTACTTTGTCTACTTTTAACATAATCTTTGGGGAACGATTAGGTTTATCAATGGAAAAGATATTCTTGTGGGGATGTGAGCATTACTGTGGTCTTCCTGATGGTATTGGCATGGAGAATAGTCAAATGCAGTTCATTGCAAGTGTTAGATAGCTTCTTCAATGTGCATGTGTTCTGTTTATGAGTTTGCCCACATCTACAGCATCTGTCCTTCTCATTGACACATTTCATCATGTCATTCCTTGTAAGTTTTTTGAAATCTTCACAAACTCCAAGAAAGTGGTTCCTAATATTGCAGTATGGACCATAGGGCTTAGGTTTATTTACCATTGTAGTCTCATCACTGTTGATAGGGATTGCAGTCTTGCTGGGTAGACTGAAGAAACTTGTCGAAAGGGTTGATGGTTTTTGATTGGTCGGGGTCTTTCTCCTTTATACAGTTTGATGGCTCTCTCAGATATACGTTTTGCCCTGGCCTTTGACTGTAGTCAGGTGGAGAGGTCAATAAGAGAGTACGT